CCTTCTTGTGCTTAAATGTTGTTTCTCAAGTTAAATGCAAGTGATATGTTACAAATTGGTATCCCATGCTTCTGTAAATACATTTTACTCTTATTTTGGTATGAAAATGATTTTTATAAGGATTTTATACATTGAAAACTTAGGATCCCATTTCAAATAGTTCTAACACTTTGAAAAATAAATGATTCTCTTAATGAGTTAGTAATCCAGCGAGACTAATCCCATGATTACCCATATGTGGAGTTTAAGTAGTGGATTAGTAAGGAAAACCTTATATAATGCAAAAAAACCCAAAAGGGTTAGATTGGGTGTTTAGAAAATTTTTTACTAAATAAAAGTTTTCATGATTTTGGCACAATTTGAAGATGCAGCAAGAACATTAGAAGGAACGAAGGAGTGAAGGTCAAGTTCTTATGTTGCTAGAGATTTATCAAAACACTTTGAAGGATAAATAAAATCAGATTTTCACAATCAAGTGTAGAAAGGGGTGAAAATAAGGATAGTTAAGGATGAAGATAAAGCTTTCATAAACCTAATTTAAGAACTAAGATAGAGAGCAGAATATGAAAGTGCTGAATATAAAGAGTATAGTGATAAGGATATTGCATGGATAATTTATCCTAGTTCAACCCAATCACTTAGCTTATATCCAGTCGATAAGATCACCTTTGAGATTTTTTACTATATTCATAAGCTTAAATTGGTTCTTGCCACTACAATAGAATCCACAAGTTTACTTGGACAATTGTGAGTTGTTTCTCTCAAACTTAAGAGAATACCTCTCTTAACAGCAATTTTTACAGAGAAGATCTCTTTTCTATGATAGCATAAGGGATAACAACCCTTGATTTACTTAACAATGAGTGGAAGGCATTTCCTAAATAATCTTTACTTAATGAGATGATAGAAACAATTTAGGGCCTCATAAATATAACTCTCAAAAGAGTAGATAATACATTTATGGCCTGTAAACTAGTTAAGAGCTTATTTCACATAGACTGAAAGCATAACGGCAGAATTTTAACACTTTTAACACTTAATGCATGGGAATTCATTTAATAAGTTTATCCACTCACTTAAACAAGGTCCTATATATAGTTTGAGATGGTTTAGATTGTTAGGAATACTCAAGGAAGGGATTATGATTGTTAAAGTCATGTAAAAGTAAAGAACATTAAAAAAAGTCACTTTTCTTGTGAAGAATTTAATTTTATGTAAGGAGCCAATTCATGCCTGAATTGGAACAAGATACGCGTGGAATGGCAGATAGGTCTTTGACTTTAGTTCACTCATGATAATTCAAGCATAAGGCTAAAATGCTTTCAAGCTTGATATAGAAGGTGGAAACACCTATCTTCTCTATGAGTGAAATCAAAAGTGGGTACTTTACGCATTAAAGTATGAAATGGATAATAGAAGCACCTAGCTTCTTTGTGAGATGAAACACACTTAAAATACTATAAAACAAGATTAATTTGTTTAATTCAGTTTTAAGGCTCTTTAAGGTCAAATTTAAACCTAAAATAGGCAACTTACATTTCAAGCGTGATCACCTTGATTCAAGTGTGAAATGTCACTAAGGAAAACTCAAGCTGACACATTGGACAATTTAAATATGAGCACAAAATGCAATCAAGCATGAATCAAAACACATCAGTATCTCAAAGACACTCCCTACATGTAGCTGCCAAATCATGCATTGATCAATCTCTGCTTCAAGTGTGGGATGTCTTACAGTGTATTATCTAACTTTTATGATCTAATTCATGTTAGATTTAATCTAGTTCAGGCTTAAATTGGATCCACTAAGTCCTATCATGCGCTTAGGGTAGCCAAATCACATGTAGCCCTTGCTATATCAAGCATGAATTAGAACAATAAATTTAGGTGCATTATGAAGGTTTGATACTTAAGATCAAAGGACTTATGAGCCTAAGGTTGGTTTTAAAATGATGCATTCTTACCGTTTTCAAATCATGTGATAGCTTTCATTAGTTTTCACAACTAAATCTAAGAAGAACAACATAAATAAACCTATTAAACTAACTCTTCTCTTGGTCTTCATGCTCTTAGAGGTTTTGTTACTTAGTTTATGATTACAATATGCACCAGTGACAAACACCTCTCTCTTTCTTTTGTGGTAATCAAAACACATGGTTCAACAACAACATCTTAAGCATTTGAGAATGAAGAATCCATGATTCAAGAGTGAGTGTAACAACATTAACTGGGTGGCTCTTTATAATTGATTAGTTTGGGTTAGTCCATTCATATAGATGCAGACTTGTTGATTTAATAGCCCATGGATTTAATTAGAGGTATCATGGGATGATAAGGGAGGTTAATGCATCTCAATGAATATTGTCATATGTGATGAATATAAAATTTGAATATTCTGGTATGTTTCATGAGCGTGAATATGATTACTAAGAAATTGCCTACTTTACATGCTTATGATTGATTGACTTACATGTGCATGATTTAGAGTTATTTAATTATTGAGTAGTCACACTCACCTATCGTTTAATGTATTACAAGCACTAGTCTCGATCAGGGCAAAAAGGAAGCATTAGAGCCACGTGATTAAGTTTTTCATAATGAAATGCCTTTAGTAATTGTGTAGTATGTGTGAATGATAATTATATTGCCAAGTAGGTCATTTATTCAATATGCATGCACTATTGGCATATCTTATGTGATGGGTTGTAATTGAGGCCCTAGATCTATGTGTTGTATTAAATAGATCTTGTGAATAGGACTAAATTATTGGTGCAAATAAGATCTTGAGGAATTATGAAATGAGATGTTGGAAAATGGTATTAAACCCCCTTGATTTTATGAAATTTAGGGTTGAGGGTTGAAAATCATATTGGTAGTGGTTTTGTTTGATGTGGTTCATTGTACAGGTTATCATAAGTCTTTTGAATTTGATCAAGGTGTGGTTGCGGGCTTTTAGCACTTTGGTTGGGCTTTTGGACACCTTGAAAAGTTAAAAGTGTGAAAATATGATTAATGTGATTTCAGGTGTCCAACTTAATGATATAAATTAATTTGGAAATGAAACTGATTCCATTAGTTAGTATGCTAAATAAGTTATATGCGGACACCTAAATTACCCTAATTAGACAATAAACGGAGATTTAGGGTATATCAAAAGTTTAGCCCCCAGATCTAGTTTTACAGCAAAGTGCTGCCATTATTGCTGTGCAGTGCACCACGGTTAATGCTACCTTCACCATGGCGCATGTCACGAAGTTAATAGGCCTTGACATATCGTGACTTGGTCGCAGCGACCATCACTATCATTAATCATAAGCTGTTTTAATTTTATTTTTCTTGTTTTCAAAATACATTACATTTAATTATTAAAAAATACAGCTATCTTGAACAATAATTATCATAAACTACCATCATTAATCGCTAGTGACCATCACTATTGATCAATTTTTTAATTTTAAAACTATTTTTAAATTAACACAACTAAACAGATTTTTCTTTTGCTTTATTTTGAAAAACAATTTTAAAAACTACATTGCAAAACAATTTAAAAAAAAACAAAAAATGAAAATAAAAACCAAACATGCCATTAGGGCTTGCTAGGTGTTTGTTCTCTTAAAAAAAAAAAACTTGTTTTGTAATGTAGGTTTTAGAATTATTTTTCAAAACAAAATAAAATAAAAATTTATTTAGTTATGTTATTTAAAAATAGTTTTAGAATTAAAAATAGGCTTATTACAAGTGATTAATGATAGTGGTTTATAATAGAAATTAATCAAACTAAGTATAATTTTTAATAATCAAATATAGTGTGTTTTAAAAGCAAAGAAAATAAAATGTATACAATTATAAGATGTTTCCATTTTTTGTTTTTTAAAAAAAGAGAACATTTTTAAGAATAATTAAATTCAAAATACTTATCAAAACAAGTTTTTTTATTTTTTATTTTTAAAAACATAAATAATTTTTAAAAACAGAAATCAAACAGGCCATTACTAGCATCAAAGTTTGCCTCCAAGCTCAAGGACAAAATATTATTGGTTTGAACACCATGACAAATAAAAATGATAGAAAATTAAAACTTTAATATATTGCAGGACGCTTGGAGTCTAAAATAATAATAAGAAAAATCTAAGTTAATTTCAGAATTATATGGTGATTGGATGGTCCCAACTCATAAGATGGGGGCCACAGTAGACAGCACCACACGTCCAAAGACTTGGACTCGCCCAAGTCCTCTCTCATACATGTAACTTAGCTCGTTACTTGTCGCATTATTGGTCAAAGTCTCTCACTTTGTTTTGCTGTTTTCATAACGGCAAAATAAAAAATAAAAAATATATTTAAAAATATGTTTTCTGTTATCTATTCTTAAAAAATTAAAAAATCATAACATCTTTTAAATGTTTTGTTATTTTTATTTTGTAAAACTAGAGAAAAGACAGAAAATATTTAACTATTTTAATTTGTTTCTTTTTTTTTATATTCTTAAAATAATTCTGTAAAATAGTTTTTTAGAACGGGTTTTGAAAACAAAATTAAAAAAATGGTTTGAATTAATATTTTGAAAAACATATCACATTGGTGAAATAAAGAATATGAACAAATCATTTATTTTATTAACATAATTATTATTTATGAAATGATGGAATTTTTCACCTTACATCTAATTTTTAGAACAAAAATAACGAATTTTTTAAATTTTTTAGAACAACTTTTATCTTTTTGTTTTTTAAAATAAATAACAAAATATGCATTTTTCAAACAGGTTTTCTTAGAACAAAAAACTCTTTTGAAAACAGGCAGCCAAACGATCACATCAAACCTTCATTAATGGCAATTATGTTAATAAAATAATTTTTTTTTTGCTATTTATTTTACCAATTTAAATATATTTTTAAAATAATAATTCAATCGTATTTTTTTATTCCTTTTCTTAAAACTTTTTCTAAAAAATTATTGTATAAAATTGTTTTGAGAAGATAAAAACAGAAATCAGAATCAAATAAACCTGAAAGCCTCTCTCCATCTTTAATGGCTTGTGGAGCCATGAAAATGCAATCAAGAGTCTTCGTCAATAGCCACTACCCATCTTTAATGACTTGTGGAGCCATGGAAATGCAATCGAGTCTTCGTCAACATCTTATATAGTGATCATCAGCTTTCCTGATCATCAGAATGCACTGCATTATCACCGTCACACAGTGGTAAACCATGGGCTTGAGTTTATTGCTTTTGATCAAACTGTCATTAGTAGCCTCCACACTGGCATCGCCGGCGCCGGCGCTAGCAGCCGCCAAGAAAGCGGGCTGCGATACCATGTGCGGGGACGTGAAAATCTCTTATCCCTTCGGCACAACCAAAGACTGCTTCAAAGATCCTGATTTTCTGATAACCTGCAGCACTTCGTCTAGATTCCCCGTTCCTTATCTAGGAACCAAAAACAACATCCGAGTTCTCAACATCTCTGGGGAGACCAGTGAGCTGCTTGTCTTCACTCCAGTTTATCATGATTGCTACGATCCCGATGAAGGCATTTATTGGACCAAAGGCTTTCGTGCGCCTTCCAAATTCGCCATATCCAATACAAAGAACGATTTCGTCGTCGTTGGGTGTAACACCTACGCTTTCTTCTACGATATCGAAGAACAAAAACTCTTCGGCTGCAACTCAGAGTGCAGTTACGAGGAACCCTTGGCAAAAGGATCTTGCTCCGGCGCCGGCTGCTGCCGGACTAATTTTGGGCAACCCATTAGAAATTATACTAACAGTATTGTTTTTTATGGTGACCGAAACGTGTCCGACGGCTTCTTGTTTAACTGCAGTTATGCGTTTTTTGCCAAGCACGGAACTTTCAACTTTTCCGACAGCGACCTCCACGATCTAAGCGTACGCAAAAGATCTACTGTGGTACTGAATTGGGGTGTTGATCAGACGAAATCATGCGGTGGAGCCTGCAAAGACGATGAAAGTATATGCGAAGAATCACAAAGTGTCAAAGGCTACTACCTCTGCAAATGTAAACCAGGTTTTGAAGGCAACCCCTACCTCTCCGGTGGCTGCAAAGGTGATTGTAGAATCTTATTCCCACTTCGATTTGTTTTTCATCTAATATCCTAGTTTTGAAACTTTCCAACTCATTAAATAAAATCCCCTAACTAATTACTTTTACTAAGGGCAGTTTTTAAATTTTATAAGAAATAGTCCTTTCAGCCTAAAATATATGACATGTTTTACTGACTAGTGTTGATTTAAAATGTAGAATACTTTGCAAAAAGCCAATATCTTAAATGGGAAAATCACTATAAAATTTCTTATAAGCATTCTAACTATCCAAAAGTCCCACAAATATACAAATGGCTGGGAGGTTCTTAAGACTTGGCTGTAAATATACACCGATGAACAGTGATAAGACGAGACGGAGTGACTCTGTTAATGGCGATAGCGCACTGATGAATGGCGATGGGATGAACAGCGTAGTGACTCCGTGAAACGACAAGGGCACACTGATGAACGGCGACAGGACGATCAGCGCAGTGACTTCGTCAACGGCGAGGGTTGGAGATGACCTTAGACAGCATGTGCGAGACTGATAGTGAAAACCGATCTTCGATATGAGAGGATGTGCAAACCAGTGAGCATGGGCATTTTGGCCGTTTCACAAAAATTATTTGCGGCTAAATCTGAAGGGACCTCACGGCTATTTAATTTGTGCAGATTTTTTTGTGGTTGGAGTACTTGCAAGGACTTGACAGTGATTTTCCCATCTTAAATATAATTCTTCTTTTAATTTTTAAAAATAACCTCACTAAATGTATTGTAAAGAGAAGAAATAAATTAAAAATAATTTTGATTGATTGATTTTAATTGGAAAGCAATCTTAGAAAGTAATGATTTTTTACCATATTAATGATAGAAATCACTTTTAATTTTTTAACTATACTTTTTTCAATCTGTATGAAATTAATTAAAAGTGTCTTTGAACTGAAAAAAATAACATGTTTTTATTCTACCGCTCGATATCTTCCTGAGAGTTTTACAATCATCCATCTAAATTAATTTGAATTTTTGCCGTGAGACTATTATTATCAATGGCTTTACAAGTATTTTAAAAATATCTTTAATATTTTTATTTAACACGAATGTATATTTCATGACTCGAACTTAAGATTTTAAATAAATTGGATCAAACGCTAATTAAATTGTTATCAGGTGCCATTGCAAAGGATAGAAGATGTAGGATAGTTCACATGGATATTTTCTACACGATTAATTTTGCTACGATGTCTCCATAATTTCAGATGTGGACGAGTGCCATGGCATCAATAATTGCACGGAGTCGGCAGTTTGCACCAATTACAATGGTAGCTACACATGTACTTGTCCAAGTGGGCAAAAAGGTAATGGCCTCAAAAACGAAACTGGACCGGGTTCGGGCTGCAGAATTCCGGATGCGGACTCTAATCACGATGGGCGTGTCATTATAATTTCATTAGGTAAGCATACACGAATATTGCATAATATCAAGACATTGCCTCGTTTCTTTATACCTTGCACACATGCACTTTCACAATTTAAATATAAGCTCATGCTATAAAATATGGTCATTTTATAAATTATGAAAAAATTGCAAGTTAAGATTAACTCTAGCAAATTAAGTATGTAATTTTTTCCCTCAATTTAATTTTTAGGACAGCCAAATATTAATCATGAAAGTTTTTTTGCTTCCTGAGTTTATCTAAGTGGAAAACAACTTGTGTGTCTTTCCCTTAAATTAAATTGAAAACATAACAATAAATTATAAAAATGAAAATAAAAATTATACCGAATTGATTTTAGTTACCAATTTTAAAAATAAAATATTTTTAAAACATACTTCAATGTTTTTAAAACTAATGAAATAGTAATTTGTCTAAACTATATCACGTTGTCAAAAAGTCTCGCTGCAATCTTCAAATTACAGTTAATTATTTCTTCATGACCGGTTTAATTTGTTAAGTAGGACTTGGTGTTGGAGACAATAATTAAAAATGAACAGAGGATTTGCATCTTCGCATATATTGAAATCAAATTCGAAACATTTTTTCTAGAATAAAATCTCATTTTGAACTCTTGCTTGTAGTTGTTGCTGTAGCTTTGTTGGTTGTCCTCACAGTGCTTTTTGCATTATGTTGGGCACAAAAGAAAAGAAGTTTGAGACAACTAAGAAAAAGAAATTTTGAGCAAAATGGAGGAAACTTGCTTCTACAACAATTTTCACAACGACAATATACTGAAAGGGCTAAGATCTTTACAGAAGATGAGCTTAAGAATGCCACAAACAACTTTGATGAAAGTAGGATCCTTGGTCGTGGAGGACAAGGCACGGTTTATAAGGGTACGTTGTCAAACAACACACATGTTGCCATTAAAAAGTCTAAAGTTGGAGGGGATTCCCAAAATATTAAAAGTTTCATCAATGAAGTATTTGTACTTTCCCAGATCAATCATCGGAATGTGGTCAAACTTTTGGGGTGCTGTCTTGAAACTGAAGTGCCTTTATTAGTTTATGAGTTTGTAGACAATGGCACTCTTCTTGACCACCTAAGCCCATCAAAAAATTATTGTTCTATTACATGGGAGACTCGATTAAGAATAGCTATAGAGATAGCAGGGGCCATTTCATATTTGCATTCTGCTGCTTCTATTCCAATTATCCATCGGGATATTAAATCTGCCAACATACTATTAGACCATGACAATAGAGCAAAGGTGTCTGATTTTGGAGCTTCAAGACTTGTCCATCTTGATAAAACTCAAGTTGCTACCGTGATCCAAGGAACAATAGGATACTTGGATCCGGAGTATCTCCAAACTGGCCAGTTGAATGAAAAGAGTGATGTTTATAGTTTTGGGATTGTACTTGTGGAATTACTCACCGGGAAAAAAGCATTTGAATTCAATGGGTTGACTAGTCACTTTATATCTTCCATGAGAGAAGACTGCTTGTGGGAAATTCTTGATAAGCGAGTGCTAGACCCAAAGAAGAATGCAAAACAATTGAAAGAAGTAGCCTCATTGGCAAGAAGGTGCATTAGAGTTAATGGAGAGGAAAGGCCAACAATGAAGGAAGTAGCAATGGAATTAGAGGCTCTTATGGCAATGGAAAAAAACCTTCAAGGGAAGGACAAGGATATGATGGTAGAAGAAAGTGAATATTTGGTTAGTAATTTTCCTAATGATGGATATGAGAGTGCTAGTGCAAGTATTTCAGTTGTGAGTTATGATAGCATTCAAAAGCAAGTTCCCTTTGAGATTGTAGATGGAGGGCGATGATTTATAGTATTAGTAAGTGCATTGTGTTTCAAATAGTATTTTGTATTTATAAAGGATACAATGGAATGTGAAGATAATATCTCAGTTATTTTTGCAATCAATTACCATGAATTGAAAATGTATGGGTGAAATTAATGAACTCTCATTGCCTTTACTAAGTTTGTCTCTTATTGAGTTGAAATCCTTTTTTTATTGTTTTCATAGGGCTTGTCAAAATTTTACTCCACTATTATTGGCTAAAATGGCATCTATAAGATGCAGTATTGGATACTTTAATTTTAAAAGAACAACAGTGAAGCCTAAAAGAAGAAATTAATGACAGTAAAGTCTTTATTAAAATTTTTAAAAAATAAATTATAAATTTAAATTTAAATAATTATAAATTCAGGAGTTTAAATTTATTTTTGAATTTCCTTTTTCCTGCAAAACACGTGCAATATCCGAAGAGGCAATATATTCTATTTTTCAACTATTTTTATGCCAAGATTACTTCAAATTGGGAGTTAAAACAACACCAAAGCAACATACGGAATGGACCTATCAGACGCGTTTTCATTGGCTCTCGCATTCGTGTCCTCGCTCGCACTCACCTTGCTCTCGGTCTCTTTGCCGTCGCGTCACACGAGCTTCTCACTCTGCTTCGTCCCCGCGTATTTCCGATGATGTGGTCTCACTAATTTTTCTCATATTTTTACCTTTCGTGATGAAACGCGTCAACCCCTCTATTAGATTACTTGTATTATTTATTATTGTAGAGAGGAGGATTTAGTGGAGGCAAGCTTTGATATCATATTTTTAATTTTTAGTTTTGAACTTTGAACTCTGAAGCTTTTTGTTTTTGGAAGAAATAGCTAGACAAATGAAAAAAAGAAAATAATTTTGAAACCTGCGGATGGATGAACAATTTGGACGATGATGAGAGAGAGAGAGAGAGAGATATATATATATATATATTATGTTTTAGTTTTATTATCATACTGGTGGATTTCATATTTTTTGTGTAATCAAATGAGAAAGATATAAACTTACTCTTTAAAATAATTTTTATTTGAATTTATTTCAAGTTTTAATTTATTTTTTAGTTAATGTTATGCAATCTTTAAATAAGCTTTATGTAGGTTTTGGTAGGCTTTACTACTTATAGTGTTCAAGGCCTAAGTTTATAATTTTTTTTAAGGCCAACATCATATGTTGACTTTTAAAAGAGCTTTAGGTTATGCTAGATTTATTTCAAGCTTAGGCTTAAAGTATATGAAAAAAAGCTTACATACAAGCTCATAGATTTGACCTATTTTCACCTTTAGATGAGGTTGCATCGAAATCAATATAAGATATATATATATATATATTTGTTATATTTTAATTGCTTCTTTTAATTTCTAGCTTGTAATATTTTAATTTTTTTTTTAATTTCGAGTGTATTTGAAGCTATTTTTGCTTTTATCAAAAACAAAAAGAATAAAATAAAAGTTGACTTTATTATAAAAGAAGACATTCTAGCCGTTATCCAAATATAGTTATTTTTTACCATCATCAATTAATATCAATTTAAATGTTATATTTAATTAATATCCAAATATGCCTATATATAATATATATAAGAAACATATATAGTGACACACACAAAAAATAAGATAGATAGCTTTATTTTCTAAAAAAGATGACAGATAATTTTTTTTCCCTTTTTGAGTGAAAGATAACTAGATATTGATAATCAAAACCTTTTTTTTTTGTTGCCCACTCGGTATCCAGAGCTTCATCTTGACTAATCTGAATCTAAACTTCTGCATACATAAGGCTCAAACTCGAGACCTTACTTAAGCAAAACTGAGCTACTTGCCACTCAAACCAGCCCCCGTTGGTGATAATCAAAACCTTACTATTTATGATAGTGAGCTCTTAAAGAAAATGGGGATTGAAATAACTGTATGTTGCGGAACTAGCCTCCTCTAACGATAGTGTTTTTGGTGATTGCTTCCCAATAGTTGAGGAGGACATCATTGAGTCGCTAAGATAGGATATAACTAGCTATGAAGTAAAAGGTGCAGTATTTGCAATGGGGCCCCTTAAAGCCCAGGGCCCAGACAGGCGAAACCCCTTGTCCTTTTAAAGTCAATGGGAGGTTGTAGGGGATTCTGTTGTTCAATTAGTCTAGCAAATCTTCTATAATCCTAAACTGGTGAGGCATATCAATGCGACAAACATCATTTTAATACCAAAGGTAGATGTTCCAAAAACTTTGAAGGACTTTCGACCTATTAGTCTTTGCAATGTGGTATACAAGGTAATCACGAAGGTGCTTGCAACTAGACTTAAACGTCTCATGCCTAAAGTTGTGGCGCTTAATCAGTGTAGTTTTGTTCTTGGTAGACAAAGCACTGATAATGTTATTGTTGCACAAGAGATTATCCATTCCTTCCATAAGCGAAAAGGGAGAAGGGGGTTTATGACGTTGAAGATAGATCTTGACAAGGCTTATGATAGAGTCAGGTAGGATTTTGTGACTAAGTGTTTGGAAGAGCTCAACATTCCCTTGATCTTTATTGATGTGGTGTATAAGTGTTTATTGACAGCTACTATATAGGTAATGTCGAATAGTGAGAAAGGTGATACATTCACTCCGTCTAGGGGGTGAGACAAGGTGACCCTTTTTCATTGTATCTTTTTGTTTTAATTATAGAGAAACTAGGGCACATGATACAGAATGAAGTTGATATAGGGAATTAGTTTCCATTTAAATTAAAAAGGAACGGGTTAGCAATATCTCATCTTTTCTTTGCTGATGATTTACTATGGAGCAAGCAGGCTTGTTAAAGGCTTGTCTAGATGACTTTTGTTGCAGTTCAAGAGAGAAAATTAATAGTGCTAAGTCTAGAATCTTTTTCTCTCAGAATGTTTGAAGAGCACACGCAACTGTAGTTAGTAGCTTCTTAAAGTTTACAACTACAAATGATCTTGGGAAGTATTTAGGGATACCTTTACATTATAAGAGAGTTCAAAACATACGTATCAACACATTTTGAATAATATAGATAGCAGATTATCTTCATGAAAGGTGAATACTCTATTTGTGGCAGCTAGACACAAATTGGCTTCTTTTGTGGTGGCAGCATTACCAGCATATACAATGTAATCTACTCCATTACCAAAACACATGTGTGAGGAGATTGATAAGAAGTGCAGGAAGTTTATATGGGGAAGTATGGATTCATACATAAGATACATTTAGTGTCTTAGGGTGATGTGTGCCAAAGGAAAGAGAATGGAGGACTCGGTCTATAAATGGCTAGTCGTCAAAGCAAGACATTTATGATGAAACTTGGCTGGGGACTAATTCACCAATGTGATGGACTATGGGTGAAACTTATACATGAAAATTACAAATATGGTAATGATGTTATTCCTTAGGTGGAGATTTGTAAATGCAGATCTAGTGCTTGGAGGGGTATTAAGGAAACATGGAATGAGGTTATATCCAGTGCTGCATAGCAGGTGGGTAATGGTTCTATGGTAAGGTTTTGGCGTGATTGTTGGCTCCCTCATCATGAGCCATTATTACAGTATGTGATGAAGAGTGTTCTGGAGGAAATTAGTAACCACATTGACGAGTATTTGACACCTTCAAGCAGATGGATAATAGCTAAGTTTGTCGAGTATTTGCCCAGAAACATAATTGATGTTATAAATAGGATCTCAAGCACTGGGGATGAGGATATACCTAGATAGAGGTGGTCGAATAACGAAGAGTTTACAATAAAGTTGGCTTATAGCAGGCTTTGTAATAGCAATGATGAGGTACGAAAACTTTTATGGAGGAAGGTATGGAAAACTCCTGTATCCTAATGTAGTAAAACTTTTCTTTGGCTTTGTGCTAGATGAAGGCTTATGACTAATTCTTTTCGAGCATCTAGAGGTATTCAGTGCAGTGTCTCATGTTCCCTATGTTCTCATTATTGCGAGAATGTACTATATGTTTTGTGAGATTGTCTGATAGCAATGGCATGTTCGAAACAGTTGGTGCATCTTGATAAAGAGACGATATTTTGTGAATTTAATGACCATGTCGATTGGTTAGATTGGAATCTTTCTCAACGACATGTAGTCAAGGGAGTTAGGTGGGATGTTTGGTTCGCCATATTATGCAGACAACTATGGATTAATAGAAATGTTAGAGTCTTTCAAAAAAAAAAAAGCTATTGGTGTGCATGTGACTCTTGCTTAAGTTCAAGCGATGGTAAGGTGGTCTAGTCTAGATCTCATGGAAGAAGGGAGGGTGAAAAGCCAAGGAAGATGGAGAGCTATAGAGATAGGGACTATCAAGATCAATGTCGATAGGGCATGTAGGAGGGATGGTGTAGTGGCCGGGTGTGGAGGTATAGCGAGAGACCATGCCGAAAAGACAATGGGAGGCTTTTTACATCACATCGGTCAAGCGAGCAATCATCATGCAGAATTGTGGGGGGTGATATGGGCTCTTAAGAGAGCTTGGGACTTACAATGGAGGGAGATTGATGATGTTCAGACAGACTGTATGGAGGTGATTATGGCACTCAAGGAGGAAATCATGATTTATCACTTGAATCGCAACCTTATATCTAAGATTCAAAGTCTAATGCAGAGGGATTGGAGGGTGAAAATGATATGGTGTGGTCATGATGCTAATGCTATTGCTGACAAGCTTGTCAAAAAAGCCCTTGATCTTGTTACGGGAGCTGTCGTCTTCATGGATCCCCTTGAGTGTATTTATGAGCTGTTAGTTGTTGATCTAAGGGCCTAGTACCCTTTGTGTTTTTTCTTCTATTTAAAAAAAAAACCCTTGTTCACATTTTCCTTCTATAGAATGGCCATTTTCGGGTCAAAAGGCATAATAACTTCTTCAAATTTTGGTTGTTTTCCATGTCAATAAATTTTTCGAGCTCTAAACATCATACAATATTTATATATTTAATATTTTTTTTGGAAAATATATATGCTTATTTTTTAAAAAAAATTTAATCTTATAATTTTTAAATAAATTTTAATTTTAAATATTTTAAAATGAGGTCCAAATATTAATCATGTAACTTGACAGTATTTATCACTTGCATTCTTTAAGTATAAAAGTTATTCAAAAATAGTTATTTTTTTAAAAAATATAGTTAATTTTATATA